CAACCTTCCTCTCTCTCTCTCTCTCTCTCTCTCTCTCTCTCTCTCTCTCTCTCGTCGAATTTCTTTTCTCTCCACCTTTTAAATCCTTGGACAAGGTGAATCTTGGATGGACGATTCCGCTCGTGAATTGTTGTTTTCCTCTCGCAACAAGGAAGACAAGTTTTCGTTTTGATCAGGGATACTTGTTTTGAAACGAGCTCGAGCACCTGTCTCGACGTGTAAAAAAGGAAGATGGACGAGCGAGAGGGGAGGGAAAGGCAGAAATCGAAATCTATCGATGCCAGACGCCCGTCGATAAAGTGTAATGGTCAGCCACCACCTGATGCAACGGGTGTGCGAGCGTTTAATACGGGCTCGTTTCGACCAATTTTATTGCCAAGTTCTTCTTCTTCTTCTTCTTCTTCTTTCAACTCAAGCGTTTTATTTATATTTAACGAGGTTGGTAACGGATCCACAGTCCCTTGAGAATGTTAAAATTGTATTATCTACCTTCTTAAAATTATCAACAATTATTTCCTCCTCCTCCTCCTCCTCCTCCTCCTATTATTATCATCGTTTCGAATACGATAATAAATCATATCGAGGCGACTTGGGCCAAGATTAAATTTTGCCCCGACCGACCCTGACCGAGGAGAGGAAAAAAAGAAAGGGAATTTCATCTCGAAAACTTCTTCTGCGCGCGCGAAAGGAGGGAAAGGCTAGTTAAGGCCGAGCGGTTATATATATCGTCAAAACGAAGAAAGAGGAGGGAGGAGGGGGGGTCGGTGGTATTTATCAGCTGGTATCGGCCGGTTTAATAACGCGAGGCAATCAGAGGTGTGCTCCTCCTCCTCCTTCGGTGTATATATCCGAATAAATAATAACCATTTGTATCGGATTCTAATTACTCGCTCTGAGCAAACAATAAACACGAGGAGGGGGATCGGTTGCGCGCGAGCAGCAACCGATCCTTTAACGTGGCTCGGGGCTGATTTAAGGAGTGTGGGACCGCCCACCTCGAGGATGCGTCTTATGAGTGTTTCCACGCCACTGTGCGCCTCTCCTTCTCCCTCTCTTTCTTCCGTTGCCAAGAGATATACGCTCGTGTATCAACATCGTTTCCTTTTCCACAATTTCCCCGGATCGAATTTCACAATTTCGCGAACGAGAGTCGTTGCGCCGCGAGATAAGATAAATTCTCGTCGTCCGAGTGGACGAGATGGAGAGGAGGGGGAGGAGGAGAATTCGTTTCGAGCCTCCCCTACTTGTCCTTCGGATGATCGATAAGAGTCGTTCGTATAAGTTCGCTTTAAAAGGTGGTCGAGAAATGCGGACGGTAGTTCGTTACAGGCGGGCTATTAGCGGGCGTAACGCACGTCCTGGCAGCGTCGCAGGACCTAAGTAAACCCGGGCTAACAAGGAGGCGTATCCGTGAATGATCTACCGATCTCTCTCTCTCTCTGTCTCTCTCTTTTTCGTGTGTATAAATATACGCCCCCCCCCTCCCCTGCCCCGTTATATTAACACTTTGATTTATGCGCGTAATTATCTCTAGTTATTTTCTCGGGGCCCCCGGCCTCATTCTCTTTTCCTTAACCTGTCTTCTCTCGTAGCTGCCGCTACGCGACGAGTTAACCGTCCTCAGCGCCATCTTTCGTGAAATTCGTCGTTCCAACGACGCGAGCGTATATATATATATATAATCGTTGTGTAAATTATACAAGATTTTCTTTTTTTTTTTCTTTTTTTTTTTTTTTTTTTCATTGAAAGTTTGAGCAGTTTTTACTTTATATTAAATAGAATTCGAACAATGATCTGTTCCATGAGATAAGGATCGAATGTAGGAAAATTTTTTTGCCAAACTATCTTGAATTATGATATACGCATCCATTGTTTATTTGTCGTATTTTGGATAAATAATAATATTCCTATATATTTTAGTTGGGAATTTTATATCGGATAATTTGTAGGACAGGATTCGCATTTTCTTCTTTATCCTACGCTATTAATTAAACCAACCAAGTGTTGATCTTTTTCCTTGTATCTAGTCGTAATTTTTTATATACACTTTTTCACAACGAAAGCAGTATTGTTTTCTAAAAATTAAATCCGTGAGCTCGAAAAAATAATTTTCTACTCGAAAGTGATTACAATTTATACACGAATGTTAAATACGCAAATTCGTACGATCGCACGAAAAATTTGTAGAAATCTTTATAATTTCCAATCCACTCGATCTTATTTTCGAATTTCTCGATCCATTCGAGGATCTCTCCTCGCGGTGATCATTTATCGTGCGAGCCTTTCAAGCGCGAAATATATTTTCGGCCAAAGATTATTACGTGGCCGTGGCCTGTCTGTTGTGGTAATTAGCGCGGGAATCGCTTGGCATCCCTTCGAATTAGTCTTGCCGCGTTTATCGTTTGGAACGGCTATTAGTCAGATCGAACTCGCTGACGAGAGACCGGTTTCTCTTGACAGTCCACGGGGGGAATGGAACGGAGAAATCGTATCGAGATGGCGAAAATTAGATTGTTTGGTTTTTCTTTGTCTTCCTTTTTTTGGGGGGAGGAGAGGGATTTCGAGAAAGAATAAATTACGGTTGCTTCTTTTTTCTTTTTATGTACGTATTCAGCAGCACGATTCTTC